GCTCATGCATGTGTGCATGTGTGTGCGCGCGTGTGTCTGTGTAGCGCGCGGGCGGGCGCCTGTGCGCGCGCGAGGGCTCGCGTGCAGGAGCCACTGGGTGTGCGTGCATGTGTTATGGGTTTGATTCCAGAGCAGGTTGCACATTGGTCCTGGGTGGCTCTCAGGCTCAGGTCTTGCTTCGGCATCCTCCTCCTCCTCCTAACCGTTTCCGAAGTAGCAGCAGCAGCAGCCGCCGCCGCAGCCGCACCAGCACCAGCAGCCGCCGCGGCAGCACCGGCAGCTCAGCGGCAGCGCAGAGGCACAGCCGGCAGAACTGTGCAGAAGCGAGCACCGTTTGGGGAGTTCGGGGGGCGGGTAAGAGGGAGGAAGGGGAAAGCCTGTCTTAGCCTTTGGGATTATTATTCCCCTTCTTTCCCTCTCTTCTCTTTCTTGAGGGTGTGTGTTGCCCCCTCGAAGTGAAGGAATTTTGCTCCAAAGCGAGCTGGGACCGAAGACTCTAGGCTAAGTTATCTCTCTATGTAGATGGTGTCAGGGAGCGAAGCTACTGACCGAGCCGCTGGTAAATGTTTTTCACTTCTTACTCTTTAATGCTTAAGGCTTTTTTTTTTGTTTTTTTTTCCCTCCCTTTTCTTTCTCCCCGTTTCCTTTCTGTTGCTCCCCACTCTGCACTCGCTCCTGAATCCGCTGCAGTTCCCTTTCTCTCTCTCCTTGCGTTTGTGCAGTTTGCAACTTGTTTCGTGGTTTTCTATGTGTTTCCCCCCATCCCCCCCTTCCTCCCCAGATGAACGCTGGAACATTTAAATTCGGCACTTCGGGAGGTCGTCATTAGTTGCATGAGTTTGGGGCGGTGGGGGGGAGGGGAAGATTGGTAGAGCAGACTGTTATTTTTCCCCGCAGAAGGACTGCCGGTTTCTCTCTAATGTACATCGCAATTATAGGGATTTTTTTTTTAGGGTGCGTTTTAACGGTGCATTGATATTTAAGGTTATCATTCCCTGGGATTACAATGCATTTTGATTCAGTTTTGACAGCATGACAGATGTCAGTGTTTCCAGAACTACTGTGTGATCCATGCTGGCTAGCATATTCAAAATTGGAGGACAAATCATTTGCATTCCAAAAGAGAATTTCTTTAAAATGCTGTTTTGCATCACATTGCTGCAGATTTGCAGAGGGCAATAATAGACACCACTACTCATGTTGCTTGCAAAGATAATAAACATATAACTGGTTTAGTGCATCCCATTCTATCCTGTTCTCCAGTGATTGAGCTATTGCTAAATTTACTTAATAAATAAATTTAGGGCTGTGGAGAAGGAGGGGGGTTGCTGGTATTGTTTTACTCAAAATTGTCAGACATGAACAGCAATTTCCAACCCCAGCCCAGCCCTCTCGTAGACCTTACTTGAAGTGGCACCTTGTCAGTTGGGGAGGGGGAGGGCAGTTTCTGCTCTACACATAAAATAAAATTATTTAAAATAGCCAGCATAATGCATGCAAATTGAACACTAACTCTTTCCTTAAAAATAGAACTGACTTTGTAACTCTTGCTTCCAGGATCTGTTTTAAATATTATTTAAAAATTAATATACAACAGTCCTTTAATGTCTTCATATCATATAAGTTCTTTGGGGGGTTCTTAGCAGTTACCATGTTTCATTTGTTTTCGTCTCCCCCACGCTTCCCCCGCTAGTTCTCTGTTCCAGTTCAGTAGAAAGCCTGAAGGGTCAGTAAGTAAAGGCAAATCAGCAGTTTAAAAAGAAATCGGTTTATGATTGTAAAATTTCTGCTAAGCCATGGGAAAAGGAGCTGAAATAATGGCAGCTGAAGTGTAGGGAGGGAAGACTGGGGCAGAGCAGGTGGCAGGTTCAATATGTGTATTATCATTTGAAGGAGCTCTGAACTTGACTCAGATGAGGATGCCCAGTTCAGGGATGCTCTGAGGCACACACATGGCACAGAGGGAAAATGTTGTCATTGAAGGAAGCCTACTCCTGCTGTGTGGTTGCCCCATCATAGAGCAGCATGTTACCTGTGTGCAAGGAGTGTGTTTGCAATAATACTGTTCAACTTTGTTTTAATGTAAACTTAGCTGGTTTTGGAAGAACAGCATAAAACAGCACAGCCTGTTCAGGACTAGAGAAATACATACAAAACACACTGTCAATTAACTCAACTAGTCAGACCCTGTTTTACATAGAAGGAAACCTACTCCAAGGTGCCATGTGCACGCCCCTATTCTGGGTCGCCTGTGTTGACAAAACCTTTTCTTAAAATTAAGGACCAGATTCCTGAGATTCAAAGCTATTTCTTCTTTTGTAGGCTGTTGATAGTAATAAGGTGTTTTATTTAGAATGAAAGCTCAGCTTGCTCATGGGTCGTTTGAGATGGCAATAGTGCTGTTTGAAAATATTTCCATGGACCCTTGCATTTGCCATTTTGGTCAAGTTCGGGCATGTGGGGTGGGGGGCAGGAACCCAACTTCCATTCAGTAGTATCACAGTTGTCTTTGAGTGAAACATTTGTTGGATACTGAAGAAAAATGAATTTATATGGTAAGTGGCCATCCTTAGAACCCAAGTCTTCTAAAGCATCATGGTTTTCTTGTTCTAGGACCCAAACCAGAAAGCAATATACCCCATGCTGAGCAGCTGCATTATTTCTCTGGAATATCCCCAAACAGATAACTGACCAGGCTAAGGACTCATTTTGTGTGGCCCATGGGGCAAGATTTCTAATTGGTATGTAATACATTCAGAGCATGCATTTGTTTATGAAATGCCACAATTATCTTCAGTTTCAGCATCTTCACTAGATGTGAAGACCAAGGGTCCATTGATTTAAAGAACATACTCTTTCCTGCTGAGGTTGGTTTTTACTCCCCCACTCCTCTTTCTACCTCTAGTTTCCTGGCAACTTCTGAAAAGCTCTGAGAATTTGTGTTAAAATATGAAACATCTACATTTTGGGTGTAATGCCTGGTGAGATTACTGGTCAGTCAGCTGGATTTGTAAATACTCTTATAGGCTTCTGTGTGTTACCGTGTTTGTGGCTTGTTGGTGGTTTTCTTCTTATTATTATATTATTATTAAGTTTTCCACGAAATCTCAATGAAGCTCATTTTAACTTTCTGTGCCTGGTGTTTATCTCAGGTTAATGTATCAAAATATTATAATCCTCCTGCTAAGCTTGTTGATAAATTAGGCAGTTTACTTTCAGTTGGCATTTGTGTTGAATTGCAGCATTTCCAAAAGAATGGGATCTGACAGGGTGGGGAGAGGTAACTTAATTTTTTTTTGGCGGGGGGAGTTCATATAGAAAGAGACTGTTGATTCATGGAAAGTGATAGTCACATTTGCCCATATTATTAGGGTTCCTATTTTTATTTTTATAAGAGTGGAGGTTTCTCTGCATTTATGAGGTGTTTATTATGCAAGAGCTACTGGATGTTTCTTAAAACTAATTGCTTTTTTTTTTTCATTGTGTAATTGAAAGGAACTTTGAAGTACTTGTGTGTTTGAAGGAAAGCCTGTATTGGCAAGCTTTTCCATTGTTTTATATTCTGTGCGGACTAATTTTGAGAAGTGATTTGTGGTAGAATATGGTCAAGGTCATTGCCAAGGACCTTTTTATTCCTCCCCACGTAAGAACTCAAGCTTAAACTGAAAGTCAGATTTGAAGAGGCAAAACTCATTATCAAGCTACTACCTTAAACGGGGCTCTGTGAAAAGCTTATGTTTTTGTTTCTCATTACTTTGTGTGAAGCAACAGTTTTATTTTTTGAATTATTGGTTCACAGTAGCCCTGGTACACTCAGAGTGAGAAACCTTCCACTCTGTACGCATTGCACATGCAACAGATTTGCAACCGGCAGGGAAAATTGCAAGAACAGTTTGTTTGGGGGGTGGGGGTGGGGTGGACGTCTTTTGTTATGTTCTTAAGGAAAAGGACATAGCAATGTTTCATAAAATGTGTTATAGTTTCTAATTAGACACTACCCCATTTATAATTTTGTGAAACCAATAGTAATTTTATAAGAGTCTTGTATGATGAGCACAAATAATAGCTTTGTCAAAGTATTTCTTTGTACGCCTGGTTTCTAGTTTGATTTGTAAATGGAACACTCACATTGTTTGGGACTTTGTAGTATCAGTAACTTATCATTTTTTAAAATTATTATTTTGGTTTGTATTTTCTACCTAAGAAAGATAAACCACTACTTCACATAATTATTTCAGTAGTGGTAAGTCTATCCAGTTCATATTTCCAAAAAAATTTGTGAAGTTGAGGAAGTATAAGATCTTTTCCCTAAAATTCATGTTACTCACTGCTCCAGTCTGCTTAATAGATTGCAGACTACAGTGTGATCTTCAATTTGAAATCTTGCAGCATTTTTATGAATTCTTAAGGGCAAAAATATGAAGCTCCTTGAAAATTGTTTGCAAATAAAGTCCCTTTATTATTGTAGAAAGAGTCTAATTGGTCCACCTCTCCTAAGTATAGAATCATGAGCCTTTCTGACAAAAAGAATTATCAGGAAAAAGGCACAGTGATGTGGTTTTCGGAAGTAGTGTGGGTAAAAGAAGAGCAGGTGTTTTAACTCTTTTCATGAGTTTAGTGAATAGAAATCAAGACTAAATACTGTGTTGTCGGAAAAGTCATGATGTGTGTTTTCTGGTTTTTGTTGCAAAGGTGCGTCATGACTTTTCCGATAACCCAATACTATAGAAAAGGTAAAATAAACTCCGCTTTCCTTAGTAAAGACTTTTCTCCCATGGACAATATGAACTGACCTTTGACTCCGATGGACTGATTGACTGCATTCCTCACCCCGTCACTATTGTGCGGTACCCCCCACCAGAATATCTGTGATGGGTGCCAAAGATCCCATACCTGTGCTGGGAAAATATAAGCACGTGGTTTGGAAGAAGAGGGATGGTTTCTTTAAAAGTTTAGACTTCTCAGGCCTTGAGTGCAGTTCATTCAGGGGAGGCTTTGCTCTCCTTCATGTGTGTTTAGGTCACCTGAGACTCCCCAGTGTCTTCTGGCCTCTACAGAGTTCTGCCACAGGTCATGGTGGTAGCAATACAATGCTGGATGTCTTATCTTAGTTGCTCTTTCGTGGCAACTGGCGTGTGATTTCTGGGATGTGAGGCAGATCTATACAAGTTGGAAACTCAGCTTTCTAAAAGACAGTCTGTTTAATTGTTTCGATGACTACTAAGTAGCTGCTTAGGCTTAAGCCTGTTAAAAAGTATTGCAAATTTTGTATGATTTATTTCTGTTAAGATAACCTTGGTATAGTACTTATTGTTATTATAGAAAAGGGACTTGTGGACCCTGTAGAATAAGGAACTTATTTATAAATGTGGTTTAAAAGAATAAGTCATTTCCTTTGTTTGCTAGGCTCCCCAATCTTCAGTTTACCTATTAGGCAAGAACTAAAGCTGGAGAATAGAATTCATATGTTGAAGATAAAATTGATACTAACAATAATGTAACTGATTTTATGGAGGATTCTTTTGGAAAAGGCTTATGTTTAAATGTCATTTTTATTAT